AAAAAGTTCATGGGTTGAGATAAGGACAGGGAGATCACTCAGCAATTACCGTCATGGGCAAAACAGACTCAATTTGGGGAAAATCAGTTTAATTTATTACCAACCAAAACTGAGTAGGGTAATGAGAAATAAAACCAAATCTTAAAACACCTCCCCCCCACCCCTCCCTTCTTCCCAGGCTCAACTTCACTCCTGATTTTCTCTACCTCCTCCCCGCAAGCAGCACAGAGGGACAGGGCATGGGGGTTGTGGTCAGTTCATCACATGTCATCTCTGACGCTCTTTCCTCCTCAAGGGAGGACTCCTCACACTCTTCCCCTGCTCCAGCGTGGGTCCCTTCCATGGGGTGCAGTGCTTCAGAAGCGGACCGCTGCAGTGTGGGTCCCCCATGGGGTCACAAGCCCTGCCAGCAAAACTGCTCCAGCGTGGGTCCCTTCCATGGGGTGCAGTGCTTCAGAAGCGGACCGCTGCAGTGTGGGTCCCCCATGGGGTCACAAGCCCTGCCAGCAAACCTGCTCCAGCGTGGGCTCCTCTCTCCGTGGGTCCACGGCTCCTGGCAGGAGCCTACTCCAGTGTGGGGTCACATCCTCCTTCGGGCACATCCACCTGCTCCAGCGTGGGGTCATCCCTGGGCTGCAGGTGGATATCTGCTCCCCCATGGACCTCCATGGGCTGCAGGGGCACAGCCTGCCTCACCATGGTCTTCACCACGGGCTGCAGGGGAATCTCTGCTCCTGTGCCTGGAGCACCTCCTCCCCCTCCTTCTTCACTGACCTTGGTGTCTGCAGTTGTTCCTCTCACATATTCTCACTCCTCACTCCAGCTGCCGTTTGCGTCCCGGTGGTTTCTTTTTTTTCCTCCCTCTTAGACAAGTTATCACAGAGCACTGCCACTACCGTCACTGATGGGCTTGGCCTTGGCCAGCAGCAGATCTGTCTTGGAGCTGGCTGGCATTGGCTCTATCGGACACAGGGGAAGCTTCTAGCAGCTTCTCACAGAAGCCACTCCTGTAGCCCCCCTGCTACCAAAACCTTGCCATGCAAACCCAATACAATGTCCTATGGTCTAACATTATTACTGTGTATTGCACATTGTCACGATATAGTTAGTATACTGACACTATTATTTTCATTAATATCACTAATTAGCATCAATTATTGTTAATTATTAATTTATTATCTGTATTGGCTTAAAATGTATGGCTGTTAGGATTGCTCTAAGAGGCAGAAAAGTGTACTATGCTCAACATCAAATGATGGGCTGCTCAGGAGACTGAGCTTTTAAAAGGCTTTTACCTTTTCCTCTGGTTGGGGTGTTTGTGACTGGATGTGAAGTGAAGCAACGAGTGACAGAAAAAGGAGTGTGAAGTATGAGTAAATGGATTAGTCCATGGCAAATCAGGTGGTTCTGGTTTTAAATAACTGAAAGCCCATAACCTTCATAACGATGTGGCCCCACCCTACCAGTGATACTGCTTTGGTAAATATTTCTTAGCGCAACATTACAACAATGGGCAAACCAGGAACACATTTTCTCATGCTTGTCAGTGTTGGCTGCTGCAAACACTTGGAACACCTGCTTGTTTCTTCTCAGCCGTCATGGAGCTGTTTACTCCAGATTTATCTTCCCAGCTTCACCTCTCCATTTATGTGCCTGAAACCTTAAGAGGACAGGCTAAGTAAATGTTTACACAGCCTTAAAAATTGGCTGGGACCCTATATATCTCTCAGACTTCAGGAACTTTGCTCAGGGAACTTTTCCCATGCACAGAGAGACTTTGCAAACAGGATATTCACAAAAAGCAATTATTTATTGGCTACTAGAATAGACAACAGATGGCTAGGGCTAGCAAGCTCCTAGGCTTCTAGGCTAAGTGTTAATACTCTTACCACCCCTGTACAGTCTTTGCTGTATAGCTGTCAATGGGAGCGAAGGAGCATCTTCAGACTCCCTGATTCTCGTTAGTATTTCATACCTCTTCATGCCAGTGTTCCTCTTCTTGAACCTTTGAATTGCCAACTGCTCCACCTCAACTATCTTATCTCTGCCTGCAAACTTACCTTTCTTAGCACACATAGTTCTACTCTAAGTACTTTCACACAGCTTAGCATTAGCAATTTTATTAGGAGGCTGAGACAAGATTATACAGCTGTGCCATACCAAAACTATGCCTGAACCCCTATCAAGAGGACTACACCTTTTCTTATAACTAAAGCTTGCAGACAAAGTAGTCAGAAGCAGGTGCACACTGTAAGAAGGGACCCAAACAATGGCATTTTCCTATGATATGCTCCAGTGGAGTCATGCTACAGGGAATGAGATGTGTCTCACAGCCTCCTGTTACAGACAGAAAGTCTGGCATAGGTTTTACCAGCTGCATCTTGTATGCCATTAAGGAATAAGGAATGATGTGTCTTCTGAATCAGCATTAGTTACTTTGAACATGTAAGTCTTGGCTCTTTTCTTAAAATGTCATAGGCCAAAAAGTTCCTTTGCCATTCCAAACAAGTCACTAACATTGCTAATTGCAATGTTCACATACAGTTTAAGTTCAGTGACTTACTGGAATGTTCCAAGTAATAATGTTAGTGTAGGACATGATACCAGACCCATCTCACTGTCTCTCCTGTCTCACCAGAGACTGCAGCATAAGACTATACCAATATTTGGGATCAAGGAAATGCTCTCTGCAGCATATGCAGTTCTGATTTTACTTAGGCAGGTGTTATTTTCATTGAACAGTCACATTTACTTTTGATGTACTTGGGGGTAAATGATATTAGGCTTGTCATCTACATGTGCCTATGTGCATCCTCGTCCAGAGAGCAAGTGGTGTGGGTTGCTTCTTAGGAAGCTTTCTTTTAACAGATAGGCAAAAATTCTGCTACCTAAGTTTCATTCAGGTTTAATTTATGTAATGTTGGCCTGTGGCATGAACAGGAATCTGTATTAAAAAATGTGCCTGATGTCAGTTTAGAAAACTTTCTCATAAATTTTAATATGCATACTCAACTTGCATAGTTTTTACAGCTTTCCTTAATGTTTTTTATTTCATATTAAAGTGAGTAATGAAAAGCAAACTTTTATACATTGTACCCCTCATAAATTGACCCCTAAAGCTCCATGGAGAGAACAGCTGGTTTTGCCACTTCTGAAGATCTTATAAAGAAATTTGATTTGCAAAAAGAAATGCTGAAATACTGAAGTCTCTGTTGGACCACTGCATGACATAGTTCACTCCTATTACGAAGTAGAGGATTTATGGGAATAAAAACATTATCCAGCAATATGACAGATATTAATTTGCATGTGGTAGTCATTTTATTCAGCTCAGACTTCTTCTGGAAGTGCCTTCCCAGGTATGACCTGCTCCTGTCTTCCTTTAGAAGTGCTTTTGTTTTTGAGAAATGAGGAAGAGAACATGAAGCTGCCCACTGCTACATTAGCATAGCATTTACTAAGGTGTAATGATATTTCTTGCTTTCATTGCAAATTTGGGATGATTTTACAGTCCAACAAATTCTGATAAACTCTGCTGATTTTTTGAAAAAGAGCTGATTTAATCTTTTCACTTCATGAAAGCTGCCAGGTGGATTCAGAGGTGCTTTTCTGAAACTATCAAGCACTAGACAGTTTGGCAGCTTGTTATCTGAAAAACCTTTGTCTGTCTTGGCTGTAGTGTCATAATTTGTATTAGCAGTGATAAAACAAACCAGAGAGAAGTAATTTGAAGAGCTTTCCCTAAGCAAGTGTATTTGAGATGGAAAAACTTGCATCAAAATAGAGAAAGCACAGGCTTTCTTTTCCCTCAGTAATTTGGAAAAAAAAAACCCCAAATGACTATTTTAAGATATGGTTTTACTTGAGACATAAACTATCTTTTATACCAAGATTTAATATTGTTTTTCCTCATTAGGACATCATGTCTTTTTTCTGCCTTAATACTTACTGTCCTTTCCATAATTTTTTTTCTCTGAACAGTAAGATTAAAGATACTGCTATGTGTACATTCTTTAGGAATATAGGAAAAGACTGTCATTTGCCACATTACTCATATGCAAATATAAGAAAAGAGCTTTTAAAATTGAACTTCAAAGGAATTGACAATTTCTTGGCTTTTTTTAACTGCATGTCAACCAAATAAGACTTGTAATATCATGCATTAGCGTAGCCTCTCTCTGATAGCCATACATTATAAATTTCAAAATTATTTCTAACTTTCAATTTCCTACTTTCTGATAATTTTTCTCTCCCTCTCTTTAGTGACTATATTCCTCTTCCATGGAAGCACGCTGCCTTGTATGCTACAAGTTCACTACCAACCATCCTTCCCATTGGCCCTGTTTATTTATCCTAGCTCATAAGTTCAAAGTTGTCTCTTGAATGTCTTCTTAATTATTGACTAGTGCCTCGTGCTATGCAGGAAAGTTTGTCTTTTTGTTTTCCTTCATGCTCTCCCTGATGTGAAAGAAGACTTCTTTGGTCCAAAGCAGACTTTTCTTTCCTGAATTTGGTCACTTTTTCCTTAAGATCAAGAATATACAGAAGCTGTTTTTGAAATCTGTAGTTATGATAAAAGCTAAAGTTCTTGTTGTACTCTTACTGCACTTTAATAAAGGTTTTAAAAAATAACAGATACAGTAGGTTTCTGCAGTCTGCCTGGAAACCAGTTTTCTGTCTTAAACAAGAATGATTAAAACAAATCTAGTTTTAGTGACATTAAGCCTTTACTAGAAGCTGCACCTGTAAAGATAAGCCCCAGAACAGTAATACTGGTGGTGACTAGGATCCCTTAAGGCCTTGTTCATAGCATGATGCTATAGCGAGACTTAAAATACTTCTGCCACCTCCATGAGCATCAGAAAAAGATTCCTGCAGTTTTCAAAAAATCATTAACCATAACTGATGGCATTTCTCATTCTTGAATTACTGCAGCTTTGCATAAACACAATCAGGTATTATTGTCCCTGGGTACAGAATGAAAATCTGAAACCACATACCTGTCCAAACTCATTGTGGTCATAATGGCACTGCATGTAAACTGGTTGCATGTGTCCAGGGAGGTAATGATAGTGCAAAGAGGGCTGCCAAAAACCCACTCACCTCCACGTGCCCATTGGTGAACGAGAAAGGGCATGCCAATGATATGAACCAAATCTGCTATAGCCAGATTGCAGATGTAGATTTCTGGGATAGTTTTCTTCTGAGTTCTGAAGTAAATTGGAAGACATGGAGACAGTTACTTGACATAGTTACTGTATTGTTTTCCAAGTATACTGTTGATAGAGCAGACCTCAAAATGGAACTGCACACAAACAAGCACACCATTAGAACCACTATTTTAGAGTCTAGATATTTTAAACTAAACATTTTATGCTAACAGAAATATATCGTTCATAATTTTGCTTTCCAGTGAGGTTGAACAGGCTATTTAATTTATTAACAATGGCACAATTATCCATATCCTTCTTTGAAAACTATAAAGTGTTCAAAATAAACACAGGTTTGATGGACATGGGAACTCTAGAAATATCAGCCTAGCATAAATAGGAGGAGAGATCAGAGCTTTCCTGTGATGCAGTTGACCCAGGGCTGAATCTTGCTTAAAGATGCGTACAGGAAGTTCTCAAGTGCTCAAGGTAAAAAGGGAACTGGTGAAAGAGGAATGATCCTCTGAGAAAAAAAAAAAATAGTATGCAATCAAATATTTAAAGGTAGTCTCATGAAGTTTATACATACATAGGGAAAACAACTGAGTTAAAACTGTATGTGCAGTGTTTATTTAAGTACTGAGAGTTTGGATTTGCCAGTTTCATAATGTCTATATTCCATAGTTTTTGTGTGATATATACACCTTTGTAGCTTCCTTTACCAAAATGTAATCCTTATCTTAGTACACCTCCTGATTTAGGCTTGAAGGAATTTTATACATGCAGTTGAAAGAATTCCTGACTTTAAATTACCTTATTCTCCCAAATCAAGGAAAGAAGCACAAAGGATCTTTGAAAAGCACTGATTTTTTTTTTTTTTTTTTTAAAGTACAGGACTTTATTAAATGGGTCCTTATCCACAGTCTCCATATAGAAATCAGCTTACCTAAATTCACTTAAAAATTAGATGTCTAGTCTAAGCTATTTGTCTAGGCTCCCTCTCAGTATCTCTAACCATTTTTTTTTTTTTCAGTCTACTGTGAAGTACCAGTTTATTTGTCATTCTTACTGGAAGACACAGAACAGCCTGCAGCTGGGAGAACTCCACCTGGCTGCCCACAAACCACATTCAGAAGTCCAACTCTATGACCATCATTTCCCAAAACGACCTGTGTGAGAAGAGTTCCTAATTACATATTTTTCATGTTGCCTTCACTGCATGCTACAAGCTATGAAATAACTATGTTTCCAAAGAAACAAATTTAAGCTAGAGGGAATGAGCCAGACAAAAGTATTTTTTCAGACATTTTTATTATATTATGAAGTATGATTCACTGTCATCTGGTTATGATGAAACCAAAAACGAGACATCTATAAAGTATATCTGCTGGCACTAATGACTGGAACTCGTGGAGAGAATGACGCATATGTGTTCTTTTTCCTCCAGTGTGTTTAGCTTTGTGAACTTTGAAGGATGCGAAATCTCCAGGAAAAGAAAAGCTCCAAACTGTGTTTCCTGCAAGGCGTCAAATGGTACCATTATGCTCAAACACACAGGTTTCAAAGCATCTGAAAACCGCCTGTACGTGTCATTTCATGAAAAAGTTAAAACGGTCTTTTTCTGCTTTATTTCATTCACATTAACAGGATAAATCATACTAAATTAGAAATAACTTTTGGACACAGAATGAGAATCTCAAATTCTAAACTTGCATACTTTATGCTAAATTTAATCAACAAAGAATATACATTGAACAGCTGTCCCATGGTTGATGTAAAAGGAAGTGTTGTAATACCCACTGTCTCATGCTTTACACTGAGGTTCAGAAAATGATGCCTTTTTAGATCAATGTCCAGAGACCAGGACATGTATTTTCATACAGATTTCTGTATAGTTTCCTGTGGTAGCTCAGAGCCATAATATTTAAATGGTAACTTATGCAGTAAACTTTATAATCTCAAATAATTTTGGCCACATTTTGTAGTTTATAACTTTCTTATATTTTATTAAGACAGTGGTGCTTGCCTTCTGCTAAAACTATCACTTTACCAAAAAAAAAAAAAAAAATAAAAGCACCAGGAAAATAATAGCAATAGCCTCAATTTCAAACTTCGTTCTTTTCATCCTTTCAGTGTTTTCTACCTTCTTGCCACAGATTTAAAAGCTTCTCAGCAGTTTCTCAAGCCACAGATATTAGCTGGTTAATTCATTTTTCCACCCATGCCAGGTTAATTTCCATCTCTGAAACACCATATGAAAAATGTACAAAAGCACAATTGCTGTTCTGTAAAATCTGTGAATATGTCAAATCTGTGATTAGTCCTCCCTTCTCTTCAATTCCACTTCTACAGATTAAACTCATTAAAAAAATGGGTTTGAATGATCCCAATCCATTAAAAAAAGAAGTGTTGAACAGACACGACAATGTGATAATACATATACTGGCTGTCACTCCGGTAACAACTTCGAGGAACATGACAAGTGCATTATGTGTTGTCATCAGTCATTATTTATCCCCTCTGACTGCATTATGTCCTGTCATCAGTATTTATTTATACCCTCCTGGACAGAGAGTCTTCATTAACTAGAAGCTTAAGTGTTAATCTGTAAGTGATCTTTGAGGTCAAAGACAAGATAATTTATAAGTATCACACATTTAAAAACACAAGCACATACCCTTTCTTCAAACAGGAAAGGTGAAAAAGGCACCCTTTATGGGCGAGGTCTGCAGTGGCAAGTAGCACCAGCATTAAGGCCATCCTCCCACCTTGGCCTGTCCTCCCCTGCAAAATCTAACCATTCCCAGCAAACCAGCTTGACTTGGAGGAAGCTTTTTTAAATTCCCAGCTCTGATGTTAACCATAGTCCACTTCCCTTCTGCTCTCATACTTGGAGTTTACCTAGATCCTTGGTCCCCTTGGTCCAACAGCAGCAGTCCTATACCTACTTAACGCTATCTTGTAGCCCTTTTGTGCTGGTAAGCATGTTCTGTCCTCCCGCTTGGATCATTTCTGTGCATGTTATTTTCCCCTAGTGGCTGAAAAAACATCTCAATAATTAATCAGGAAAGACTTGTACTATCTTTTCTCCTTTTAATCAGGGGTTGGATTCTTCTTAGCTAATTTTATCAATTTGAAATTTAGACCTCTAATGTCTCCAAGTGATCTTGGCTCCTACAAGCACTGCAGAGAAACAGAAGTCTGGGGGCAATTTGTCCTGTCTTAGATAGGTATATGACAAAGATGATACGTATTACTCTCAGAAGTGCCTCTCCATGGAGAGATGCACATGACTGCCTTGGACAACCAAAGTTAGGCTGGAAAAAATTTGCTCACATCTGTACAACTGTGTAAAGCCTATAAAATCTTGTGAGACTGAATCTTGCTCAGTACCAGTTAGGAAAAACTGCACAAAGAAATGGCAGCCATTTCTGTTCTACATCTCTGCCTCTATGCCTTCCCTCATTTAACCATATCTAGCAATGAATACTTCCAAGTAATTCAACTATCTAATCTATTGTTGGATAACAACATTATCTAATGTTTAGCATTGGATTAGCAATAGCTACAGAACTTTGTCCAAGATATTCTGGACCAAAAGTATATTACTGTTTAACTGAATCTCAGTTAAGCCAGACAACATCACTTAGAGACATGTATCAGTTGCTGTGCCAAATGTGATCATGGGAAGTCCCACATTTCTAACATTAGCTTGTTTTTTTATTTCTGAAGCAAATCTAAAACAGGATCATGGAAATCAGGGTAAACTGACAGCATGCTGTCTCAATGCAGAGACGCTTAGCTTTCCCACCTCTCTGAGGACTAAAGAACAGAACAGCTGAGAAATGTTGTAGGGCACTGGGTATGTTGTTTAACATGTTGGGGTTTTTCTACTAGATTTAGGAAAAGCAGGAACCTAAGATTGGAAGAGATAACCCTTGTCACAGAACTGAGTCATCAGCTGTCACAGGCAACAAGATCAGAAAAGACCTCCTCATAACAGAGTAATTTAATCTCAGAAATAATGTTTTTGCTTCCACTACTCCTACTGAAGGCTATCACAGGACATCACTGTTCTAGAAGGTAAAAATCACCTTCCACTTATCAGCTTTTAATAGCTCCTGACTGGGGTCTACACAATTGCCTTTAGTTTAAAGAGTCCTTTACCCTTTCTGCTGTATTTGATCCTGAATTTTTAGAGAGCAAGCACACACCTCTGAGCCTTTTAAAAAAAAAGGTGAATTTTCATAGTAGTCCATTCTTCTGGTTCTAGTAATATTTCTTTTCGGTTCTTATTCCAGTCTGAATATCTTATCTTTCCTGGAAACAGCTGGTGAGAGTTGTATTTCAGGCCTTGTTATGAGCCTGGAGAATGGCTTTAGCATTTCCCTCTTTCCCCTGGAAAGGCAGAGACTTACATGTATTACAGCTGTGTGTGCTTCCCACGCAGCTTTAGCCTATTGACAGCCCACAGCAATCCCAGGAGTTTTTCCTCTGTTGTTTTCTAACTGACAGAAGTGCTTCCTATTTATAAAAAAAAAAAAAATAAGAAAAAAATTCTATGGCTTTGTGCTATTAAATGTTACCACATTTCTATTGCTCTAGTCCCTCCTCTATTCTTTATCTGGTTCTTTCTGTATGAGTCTTATACTCCTTCACATCAGCCACATGTCCCCAGCATATGTTATTAGGAATACTGCTGACACACTCTTAAACTTTGCCTCAGGTCTCTGAGGGAAAATATGAAAGCTGGCTGGCCCCATGATCTGTCCCTGAAAGTTCCACATTAACCTATTTCTCCTGAAAATTGTTTCAGGAAACTTGTTTCTTATCAACATTGCTTAGTGCCACCCACAATTTAGCTAATTTTTTTCTCATGTTATAATCCTTGAACTCATTACATTGTTCTTTAGCTGAGTTAATAACTTCTGACATGATAACATCCAAAATCTGATAACATCAAATCTCTGATCTGGATAGGCTAGCTGTATGTAGCGGTTTCAAAAATTTTCTACTGGTGACTACATTCAGTTGCAAATACACCTTCTGAAGCTGAAGATTCAGAATGCAAGTAATAAGTGTTATGACACTTATTTGCAATCTCTATTTTAGGAAATGCTATTTTACCACTTGCTATTAGTTACCTTATTAAAAATCAAGTTAATCTGCAAAGCTGTATTCATAGATAATGGAAATTGTATTTGATTCCCTTTTCTCTTCTGTAACACACTCTTCCTTAAAAATACAAAGTGAGACTAATGCCGCTAATTGGCGTTGTCTGGATCACATTTTCCCTCTCCACACAAAAACATAGCCATTCTCCCACCAGCTGGTCCACCACAGTCAGCAGGTTTCCATAAAATGCTCGCTAGCAGAACTGCAGTTTTGGGCACCAGTTTTTCTAGGTTGCTGGGATGAAGATCATTGGGTACTTCTGCCTGACACTGAATTCTTGCAGCATTTTCTCCACCATTTTATGTTTAATTAAACAGCAAAGTATCTCAACACCCTCTATTATTCCCTAGGGAATGAAATTCATTCACACAAGGAGGGCCAGGCAACAGTCATTGAGTTACTAAGTTACTAAGTTTTAAATTAAATCTCAGTGCATAGACATATATTACATGTAACTTTTACTAGGACTTTTAGTTATCTTCTCCAAGTAAGTTGCAGATAATGTAATTTTAATTCACACTTTAAAATGTTTGTCTCTAGCTGGCAGACCTGCAAACAAAATTGGGGAGCTGAAATTCCAAAGTTCTTTCTTTACCATGTTCTACCATCAGTAAAGCATTTACTACTGGAAAGTAAATAACTTTCTAGTTAATTAGAGAGATAGTCTAGCTTCTTTCTCTCTTAAAAGAATTGACTCTGTAATGCTAACAAAATTCAAATGTATGCATGAGAAAATGTGTTCAATAAAGAGCAAAGACACAACTTGGAAGCAGAGCCTTTGAGCAGAAGCAGATCTGTTTAGTGAAAGGTGAGAATTTGATATGGCTGTTTTTGAAATGTAGCTACATTTTAAATGTACATTCATCTACAGAGTCTGAGGTTTGTGACTGTCTTTTTTAGTGTTGGTAACTACCACATTAACTTTTTAATGCACTATTTTCAAATTCTTTTCATGTCTATAAATGTTCACGCCCGTAAATTTGAATGCAAATACGGTTTAAATTATATTCTTTTTTTCAAGTCATTGTCTGTGTCTATTCCCTCTGTCTCTCATATTTTAATTTAAGCTAGACAAAGGCTTTTCACCAGGGACACAAAAAAATCTTTGTTCCTTCTCAGTTTCCTTCCATTCTATTATTTTAGAGACTCTACAACTAATTTTTAGAAACTTAATGATTTCTTTTTTCCTTTCTATTCATTCATACATTTAAAAAGTCGTATTGCCATTATGTTCACTTCAGACATACTGTTTCCACATTTCTTCTCTTCTACATTCAGATTATGAGCTACAATATTCTTGAGTGTACCAGGCATTGGATTTCTGTTTTTTTCAAGGGAAGTTTAGTAAAGCTCAGGGACTAACAGACACTTAGTCTTAGGTTGGCCTTTGGAAGTCTTTCCTTTAAAAGCACAGTATGTAGGGGTGGAGTCCATCTATTAAACCTTGTGGAGTGTGACATATATTAGCCTTATGCTGTCATAAGTCTTCATGTTAAATTCACACTGAAGATAAAAGCCACTTTTTCAAGATGCATGCTTATGAGTTTAGAGTTTATGATAGCATCAGCCCCTTGACAGTAAATTCTTTATTACATACAAAAAGACATGTCTTGTTAAAATTAAGAAACTAGAAGGTATTTTCTTGCTTAAAGGATGGCTGGGTCAGATTTTATGACCCCCAAAACTTTAGCAATTTCAGCAATTTTTAACTTCTCAGAATACAACAAAAATATCTTGAGGTATTAATTCCCATCGTGTGAGAATCCTTGACTGGCACTAAGGCTCTTGCTTCCAGAAGTAAGATGATGCTGGAAAAGAGCAATGAGTTCTAGGAAGCTGCTGTAAATGGGCAAAAGTTAGGTAGAGCTCTGTTATTAAAATAATCTGAGGTAGAAGTACGGTTTTCAAAGAAGAAAAAGACTGTATTTCTACTGATCTTAAAAGCATTTTGTAAAACACTATAATGCCTGGCTAGTGCCATAACTGAAGTTTAAAATTCAGTCTAGCTTTTATGTGTGCTAGTGGGAAGATTGCTGCCAATTATAAAGGAAGCCAGGGAAGAAGGCAAGTATTTTGGTTTCCTTGAATGTGTTTGAAGTCAATCATGCACTTAAGTGTTTTCTCATAACAGAAAAGGCTAAGCAGGCGTATATTACTGCTATCTGTAGTCATGATTTTTTTTTTTTTTTTGCTTAATAAGAAGTAAATGTCAATGACTAAACGAAACATGAAAAGCTTGCTATCCTTGTCTGTCTTTGCTGGGCAATTCACTTCCTTAGTGTAGTCATCTTATTGCAGTCTTATTGCAAAATGTATTCAATTCCATACCTTATTATTATGAACACAATGAGGATATTCCCAACTAAGCCTGTTGAACAGATAATCCCAATCAGAGAGGGAAGGATGATTGTCTCTGCAGCACCGATTGCCTGGTAATGGTGCCACCCGCTCCAAGATCTGTTAAACAAGACTGGTGTACCGTTCTGACAGAAAGGCTGAAATTCACTCATTCTTCAGTGACTTTAGGACTTAGTTCTGTAGTAGCAAGAGAAAATAAATTATTCGTGGACTAATCATTTGAATATCATTAGTTAAGTCTGGTATCTAAGTGTACATTACTGTTTAATGATCATCTGAATTTCATAAAAACCTTTCACAAAAAAGATTTTGTACATTCAGGATCGGACATAAGAGAACTGGATGTTGTTTTCAAAATGAAATCTGTGATGTAATAGCTCCATTTAATTTAAACGATTTTGTAATTATCCAGGACACACCATTTTAGAATCACAGTGTGTATTCTGCTTTCAGAAAGCCCACTGTCCACTTTTTCTCTTGGCTGGGGTGGTCCCAGTAGGCATAAAGTTGAACACAAGCCATCAATGTGCCCTTGCAGCAAAGAAGGTCAATAGCATCCAGTGCTGCATTAGGCAGAGCATTACCATCAGGACAACACAGATGATTCTCCCCCTTTACTTTGCTGTGGTGACACATCTGCAGTGCTGGATCCAGGTCTGGACTCCCAGTACAAGAGAGACAAGGACTTACTGGAGGCCCATGAAGTTAGTGAAGGGACTGGTGCATCTGGCATATGAGAGGCTGAGAGAGCTGGGGTTGTTCAGTCTGGAGAAGAGGAGGCTCAGGGGAATCTGAGCAATGTGTATAAATACTTCATTGCAGGGGAGTGGGAGCCAGACTCTTCTTAGTGGTGCCCAGAGACAGGACAAGAGGCGATGGGCACAAACTGAAACACAGGAAACTCCATCTGAACACAAGAAAGAAATTTTTCCTGTGAGGGTGGTCAAACTCTGGACTCAGATTGCCCTGAGAGGTTGTGGATATGCGTTGCCCTGAGATATGTGTCTCCACATATCTCCATCTCTTTGAATATCTCCTAGAGATGTTAGAAAAAACAACTGGATGTGGCCCCAAGCAACCTGCTTGAGCAGACCCTGCTTTGAGAAGGATGTTTGACTAAGTGATCTCCAGAAGTCTTTTCCTACCTCACCTGTTCTATGATTTCTTGAATATGTGAAATATGAGACACTGATGTTACATCTAATTTATTTCATTCAAAATCACCTCTAATCATGTGTGTCCATTTTGAGATGCCTGAAGCTACAAGAATCCTAGTTTTCTCAGCTATAAGTTATACCTGAGGACAAAGCTATTGGTGCAGCTGCATATAGCCCATTTCCTCAACAGCTCCAGTTGTTGCAGCAAAACTATGTCTTCTATCCCATACACTCACTTTCCATAATACACTGAACAAAATCAGTCTTTACCTTCAAGATTCTTAATCGTCTAGATATGCAATACTATATTTCCTCAAGTAAAGACGATATATGTTTCCTTAGATCATTTTTCCAACCAGTTCACCTATGCAACTGTAGCCTGATTCTCTGTTTTATTTCCCTAGTGCAACTGCAGGCTGGCAGGATCTGAACAAATATATAAAGGCACTCCACTCAAAATAATTTAGTAAGCCCTGCTGAGAGTCCAGCAACTTCAGATAAGGCACTGAAGAACAATACCACCCTGCAGTTACACCCATACCCAATTTTAAAAACCAGTAAATTAAGATGCAGATCACACTTGTGTATTTTTAATCCTAATTTGAGACAAATCTATGTCTGTAGCAAATTTGATCTTTATTTCAGTACTACAATATCTTAAAGAAAAATTGCAGCCTGGGATGAAGTAAAAATTCCTTTATATAATATAAAATGCCCTTATGCATTTGAGAATAAAATCACCATTTTACCAGATATTAGTCTTTATGGGATGACAAATCACTGCTCTTCAAAACCATCAAATTAACAGTAGCAGGGTTCTGTTGTTCAAGATACAAGGAAAGCAGTGGGTAATAAATACTTAATTTACTTGCTGAAACCAGGGGGTCCAGGAGGCTATCAGAAATAGGAAAAATTAATGAAAATAAAATGCAGACACAGATTTTTAAAAATGTAATTTAAAAATAAGCAGTTTCCTGTTGTTTACAGAGAAGAAACTTACCTGCAACAATATGTTCCCTGAGTACAAATAGGGGGCAATTTTTATACTTGTATAAGGCATTTAAGTCGAAGACCACCAAGAACTTTACAAACTTTGTTTCACAGCAAAGCCACGATGTAGGAACATATCTTTAGATGGTGAAGTACCATTTGTGCTGTACGAAGCCTGAGTGAATGGCACATGATCACACACACAGTTACTTGCATTGGTGAAGATAAATGGTTCCTTCAGTGAAAACAATTTCTCTTTGCAAATATGCTCAAAACCATACCTTACTAAGGCATTTATAAGATACATTAGAGGCAAGATTGTTATATATATTATAGCAAAATCACCTACTCTTCAAGAATTAAAGAAGTGGAAAACCTAAAATTAGTTGTTATTGGTGTAACCTGCCATTCCCAATGAGTGACTGATCCAACAGTCATTTCATAGAATCATAGAATCGTAGAATCGTTTAGGTTGGAAAAGACCTTTAAGATCATCCAGTCCAACCATTAACCTACACTACCAAGTCCACTCTAAACCAGCCAAGGGTAGACTAGAATAAACCATGTCCCAAAGTGCCACATCTACCCGTTTTTTGAACACTTCCAGGGATGGGGACTCCACCACCTCTCTGGGCAGCCTGTTCCAATGCTTGACCACCCTTTCCGTAAAGAAATTTTTCCTAATTTCCAACCTAAGCCTCCCCTGGCGCATCTTAAGCCCATTTCCTCTCATCTTTTAATAATAAAAAGATACATTGGGCTAAAAAGAAAATTGTGCCTGTTTAGTGCTTAGCTTCTATGAAGTACATGAGTGCTATCTTGTTCATAAAAAGGGCAGATGAGAGTTTTTCAGCCAATAAAAAAGTCATATTTCTTTCTGTTTGAAAATGTAAGATCAGCACTTCATGAAAGAATTGGGAAAAGAATAACCATTTACTTCAGTAAATAGAGTGTCAGATATAACAGACCAACTTTAAAGCTAATAAGCCCTTCTTTTTTTCTAACTCTCTCAACTGATTTATTAAAGGGCGTTATTTTAGTACTTGCCTCCAAAATTACTGACATCACTTACCCTTTAAATTTCAACTGGGGAGTAGAACAAAGCCTAATAATTTAATTAACGTCATCCCTGAAAGGACTGACTATTCAAAAGTGTATCATCAACTTTTTTCAGTGACAAAATATAAAAGCTAAAATATACTCTCTGAAGCGTCAAATAATTAATACATCTGTTATTTGTCTACATTTCCTCTGACAAGCTATTACCATACACAAATGGAAGGCTGATTCAGTAAGGAAAACATCTTAGCTAACCTAAGTTCAGCTATAAAACTGAAACCCATATAGTCAGCATTGTGAAGATAAACACAGGGATGTCTTCTCGTGGGCCCTAATGATCTAGTAGCATAATTCTTTCTTGTACCTCACTTCCTATAAACTCTGGCAAGGAAACAAACTCTTGCAAGTGTAGCAAGACCTGTGACAGCTCTGTAAGTCAGGGTAATATGCTGAATCATAGAATCATAGAATTGTTTAGGTTGGAAAAGGCCTTTAAGATCATCAAGTCCAACTGTTAACACTGCCAAGTCTACCACTAAACCATGTCCCTAATACTGATGCTTACAACCCATCCTGTCATTTCTCTATGATATAGCAAGCCACCATCTGCAGTAAAATCAACAAAACTCCATTGCATGAAGAACTAGAAATACGGGGGAAATTCAAACCAGTAAGTTTTCATCACTTAGGGTCACAGAAACCAGCTGCACACAAATTCACCATGACAATGACAGAAATTCAGAAACCCCAAAAGCTGAGAAAAGAGGAAGCTGGCTCCTTGATTGCTTAAGTATGGAAGAACAAATATGTAGAACATGGAGCAGGGCTTCTTATTGAGGTCTGGATCAAACTGGCTAATGAAACTGAGTAAAGATTTGCATAGAATAGTTGTGACTCTTAATGAGTGTCTTTAAGATTTCTCCTATATATTTTAAACAGTTACACTACTGAAGCGGTTATACAAGCTATCTAATTTAACTTCTTGTATATAGATGTGTTTCTTATTAAATATCTTACCCGTTACTAAGCAGTTCAGACACTTAAAACAGATGGAATTTATACTATGAGCTTATTCCTCCTCCTAACTGCCAGGGACTATTACAGGAGTGAGTGCATACTAACCCTGATTTGGTTTTAGTAACACAACACACTTTCACTGGAGGCAGAATTAATCAAGACGAGCAGCTTCTTTTATCTATAATTTATGCATTCTGAAGGAATAATTCTTTGTGACAGCTTAATCAAATAACAACAACAACAAAAAAATCACCTTCTCATTCAATTCTATCAAGTTACAGAATGACTCCTACATGGAAAAAATCACCTATAGAATTTATAGAATCATAGAATGATAGAATGCTTTGGGTTGGAAGGGACCTTTAGAGGTCATCTAGCCCAACCCCCTAATTTGACTTGTTTTGATGTCATTTACAACTATTCTCACTTTCTCTGGTGCCTTTGACAGGCTCAGATTTTGTCTGAAGGGCATGCTCACATCTTGCCACTGCAAGGTTCTGCAGTTGGGTAGTGATTTTAGCATTAACTTGGAATGTTTTGAGTCAGAAGCTTCTCTCATTTAATTAGGGAAAGTTAATCTTTTGTCTCACTGCTTTTTGATCCTCTGTCTTGCCCTTTTCTCCATTGCCTTTATTCTTGAAAAACTAGATGTGGATTTAATTCTTGCTTCTGCCACTGATTGAGTGCATGACCTCAGGCATGTTTGTTACATCCTTTGTTGCTCAGCTTGTCCATCTGCAAAATGCAGACACTTACAAAGTTTTTCTTACACCTCAGTAAAGAGAAAAAAGATCCAGAGACAGAAAATATTCTTTATACTGGTATTCAATCTACATCTTACAAATACACTGTAGTCTCAATTACAATGCTACATAGTTATAAGGACTCTAATAAAGAGTGGGAAAAACAGAGAGTAATGGGTGCAGCCT